TATCTCTGCCCCCCCGTCACCTCCATGGCTGCAGGGGCACAGCTGCCTCACCATGGGCTGCACCACGGGCTGCAGGGGAACCTCTGCTCCGGCGCCTGGAGCAACTCCTTCCCTTCCTTCTTCACTGACCGTGGTGTCTGCAGAGTTGTATCTCTTGCATATTCTCACTCCTCTCTCCATCTGCAAATGCCCAGGGTTTTTTCTCCCCTTCTTAAATACATTAACACAGAGGTGCTGCCACTGTTGCTGATGGGCTTGGCCTTGACCAGCAGTATGTCCGTCTTGGAGCCAGCTGGCATTGGCTTCATTGGACACAGGGGAAGCTTCTGGCATTTTGTCGCAGAAGCCACCGCTGCAGGCACCCTGGAACCAAAACCTTGCCATGCAAACATAATAGATCTTATTAAATGTTTCTGCATTTGACCAGTGTTTAAAAAAAATAAACATAAATTTTGGAGTAACTGCTTGAATAAGTCCAGGTAAATGTTATATTTTTGTATTTTCATAAATGACGCGTTCCATTTCTATCATGTCTTTTCTCACAGCAAAGTTTTGTGGTGACCCTGGAGTACCTGCTCAAGGCAAAAGAGAAGGAAAAAGCTTCATCTATCAGTCAGAAGTCTCTTTCAGCTGCATTCCTCCTTTTATTTTGGTTGGCTCCAGCACCAGGATTTGCCAGGCAGATGGCACATGGAGTGGTTCTTCTCCTCGATGTATAGGTAAGGGTACACCTATATTGTTGAAATTTCTTGAAATGTTTATTATTCCTTTTTCTGATAAGTCAGTCTATGAATTTTCAGCTATTTTGAATTATCCTGGTGTTATTCTATACTCTCTGAGAATCAAGTCACTGTATTGTTATTTCTCTCATTAGCTTATTGCATGTTTTTGAACAAGCTTAATTTTGTGATACCTTCATGTATTTCATTAAGACACTGTAATTTTTTTTCTTTAATTTCTTGCAATTTTTTTTAAGAACCTACTCGCACAGCATGCGAGAATCCCGGAGTCCCAAGGCACGGGTCACAAAACAACACATTTGGCTATCAGGTAGAGTATACTATTTTTTATTACCTTGAATATGAAAGTATTTTTGTACTATCTCAAAGTCTAGAAAGTCCTGATTAGAGATCCAGAAACTCCTGCCTTGTAAGAGCTGGTTGCTGGAGTGTTGCTGTGTTTTCTTATTTCTAGCTGTTGGATTACATTGCCCTTGTGTCCCTGTTAGCTATGTGCTACGTGAACACCTGGTGATCAAGTTCTGCTTGGTTTCAGCTTGAAGGAGTTCAGTATCTCCCCACTAATAAATGAGTGCTCCCTACTGTTTATCAAGTAGGCTTTTTCTCCTTAAAAGTGTGTAAATTGTGTGCCAAACCACTAGTGCAAACATACTCTAAGAAGCAGTGGATTTTTTTTTCCCCCGATAGCAATTCTGTTGTTACATTTGGAAATTGTGTGACCACAAATGAATCGGAGAGTCATGGATACTGACAGATGCCTGTGGAGAGCTTCCAGTCCAACATACCTTCTCAAAGCAGAGTCTGCTAGTCCAGGTGTTTTTGAATATTTCCAGGGATGGAGACGCCACAGCTTCTCTCGGCAGCCTGTTCCAAGCTGATCACTCTTAACAGTGAAAATGGTTTTTCTTATTTTTTACACAGAATTTCCCATTTCAATGTCCCGTCACTGGGCACCACTGAAAAAAAAGTCTGTCACCTTTCCTGTACCCAGTAAGTTTTAATACACGGTGCTAAGATTCCCCTTGAGCCTTTTGTTTTGCAGACTGGACATTCTCAGCTCCTTCAGCCACTCCTTGTATACCAGATGCTCTAGTCTTTTAATTACCTTTGTGGCGCATCGCTGGACTCGATGCAGTATGTCCCTGTCTCTTGTGCACTGGTGAGCCCAGCACTACACCCAGCACCTGTTTGTGTCTCACCGGGGCTGAGCAGAGGGGAAGAATCACCTCCCCTGACCTGCTGATGCAGCCCAGAGGCTGTTGGCCACCTTTTCTACAAGGGTGTGGTGTGGCAAATGGTGTTTGCACATGCTTCTGTTGGAAATGGAATTATGAAATTGAAAATGCTTCTGAATTTCCGACTTGCTAAATCACACAAAACAGTGACGTCAGTGAGACGTTTTCATGGGTGAATGTTGTACAGGTGCAAAAATGCACCCTATAATTTGCTAGGAGTCTGACAAGGAAGCTAAACACAAACTGAGAAAGAGCCTAAACTATCTTGCTACCTTTGGGTTTGGTGTCAGGGCTGAAAGCTCCAGACACATGAAGAGGACTAGGCAGAAGAATAAGCTAGCAGCTTCGCAGCTGTATGTGATGCCTTTCCAGTAGCAGGAACTACATAAAAACTGCAGATTGCCAAAAATGCAAGAAAAAGCTGATTAAAATTTGAACAAATTTACAACATAAAATGAGTTTTTAAAAGCAAAGGTTGTAGCTAAAGATTTTTCAAAGTTTCATGGCCAAAAATTTCATCACTTTGTTGTTTTGGTGGCCTTTATACCATACTCCTACTGCTTAGTGATTATTGTAGCAATCTTTGGCTTTTCAGGTTATGCTACATCACAGTCACATGCGAGCGGTAATATAGTTGTCTCAGTTTTCTCCAGGGAGCACAGTGGAGTGTTGCTTTGTGCCAAGGTAGAATACGGTGAGGCAGTCCTTGGGCTAACTTTGTTTGGGTACAATACAATATCATGCTAGAGGGCAGCTCTTTATTCAACTGTGTAAGAAATTAATCATTGCGATGACCATTTTCTACAATTTTGTTGTCACAGTTTCTCTGGCATGTTAATGAGCTTTCTATCACTGAAGAAGTCAATGAAGACTTTCTCATTTGTGGTATAGTTGTTGTAGTTGTGAATGAAAGCATCAGTCACAGCTAGCATTGAGCTGTCAAAATACCAGGCGAAAAGTCAACTGATAAATAATTTCTAAAAGAAGTGTAGCTGCTGGCAGAATTTACAACCTTAATCACACAGTTGTAAGGTTAGTGCCTTGCAGATTTAAACTGTATGTCTCCTTACCCAGCCAGCAACTTATCCTCAAGCTCATGTAGTGACTTTGGTTTTATATAGTAGCTAAATGTCTGCATGCCACTTGAGGTTACTGTAAATGCAATTGCTTAGTTAATTCAGAACAGGGTAGGAGTATCATTCATACAGATGAAGCTGAGTTTATCTCTTTATTGTGTGTAAATGATAATGAAAATTATAACTTCTAGACAAGTTATTGTTTGTAGATCCTGGAATAAAATATTACAGTACTGTATATTAAATAATATTATGACTTATTTAAACCACAAACACACTGTAAATGTATTTATGTTATCCTATAATTAACTTCCCTTATGAATGAGCTAATAATGACTTTTGCTTCCATCCATAGCAGGAAGGTAAAGAATAATTCTAAATTATACCAAAATTTTCTTTTGTTTGATAGATCTGTTCTCTACCATTTTAAACAATAGACTGAAAGACCTTACGCAAAATTAAGCAAAATGGTTTGCAGCTGGCAAGTGCATAACAATTAGTTATTATTTTTGAATATGTAAGATGATTTTCTGACTCTAACCCAGGTTTTGGAGTTTTTTTTCTCATTTGAGGTTTTGGTGGATTTTTTGTTTATTTTTGTGGTTTGGTTTTGTTTTGGCTTTCTTTAACTCTCTTAAATACTTCACATTTAAACTAATATTAATAGAGTCACTTAAGTGACTTAATTGTTAAGTTTTAAATTTATGTCTGGATCTCATAAAAAAAGCCAAGCTGTAGCCTGACAGTAGACTTCAAGTCTTCATACGTGGTGTCCTGTTTTAAATGCTTTTCATCAAATGACAGTACCTCCTCTTTTACCTGACTATATCACTGACTGTCAGTTGCTTTTCACAATACTAATGCCAAGTCGTGAACTTCCACAGCAGTGTTTTTTTGTTTTTGTTGTTTCCCCCTCTCTTGATTATCTGTGTTCCTATCTTATTGATTGAATTGAAAGTTCAGGCTTACACAGCATAATTCCAGGCTTGACTGAAAGACGTATCAAAACCTGGCCTCCTGGAACCTACACTAACAAAAGCACAAATATCACCACCTCACATGGTGTTTCAACTGTTAAATAGGAGCTTTGTAACAAAGAGATAACAGAATTTTGCATGGATTTTATTGTTCAGTTTTGAATTCAGCAGGCAGAAGCAGATCAGGTTCTTGTGTATTCCGGTAACGTCCAAATACGAGTTTAGTGCTACTTGGATATCATGCATGGCATGTAAGAAGCAGTAGCATCAACTGATTTAATTGTTATGAATATGTACGTCTAGGACATTTACTTTTCAGCTGAGTATTTGTGATTTGATAGATGTTCCATAACAGTGTGCTACAATGAAGAGCTATTACAGAGACAAAATATCTTTAGAATTTAGTGAATACTGACTTCATCTGTAATCTGGAAAATAAATTTTTCCTTGGAAAGAAACTGTGGTTTTGAAATATTTCTTGAGTTGTATTGCTAGTAACACAGAAAATTGCTTATAGCACTTTCACCATAAGCTGTTGTAACACAAGATACTACTGAACTGAAAGAACAGTTTAGAACTGCTTAGACCAGTAAGTCATATATTTAGAAGATTTATTACTTCTCATACTTTACCAACATATGTTTTTGTAGAAATGCAGCTTTTTTCCCCTACATTAAATCCTGAAGGAAGCTAAAGGGCAGTCTGAATTTAGAAAGGAAAATAGTAGTGATAGCCCTCTTGGGTTCTGCTTTATGAAATGCTGTATGAAACTTGATATGCAGATGTGCAACAACCTTGCAAATCATCTCCTTTTGTGAATGCAACGCTTATAAAAATTTCAATGTTGATTGAATTGTGGGATGAAATTCCAAGAGAAGTTCTGTCCTGTAGCTGTCTCCATTAGCACAGTTTGCATCATCACTGTATCAATGAAAATCTAATTTAAGCCTTATCAGACACAGCATAATTTTCCTGGCTCCTTCTGCTTCTCGGGATGCTGAGGTCTGTGGCTTCCTCCTGTTGTCAGTGGGGAATGTTAGTGTCAGCATCTGGAGTGCCTCACTGCAGGAATGTGACTTTTACTTTTTTTTTTCCCTTTTTTTTTTTCTTCTTCTTCTTTTTCTTCTCTCTGTCATTCTTGATTCACCTGGGCTTATTTATAGTGTTTCTAAAACACTCTACACCACTCACACAGCAGCTCCTCATTATATTTTGATCTACTCTATAAGGCACATTTCATCTAGATTAGATAGTTGTTCTTTTTTTTGCCACTGAAACTGGATTCTGTCCAGGTCTGCATTTCTTTAAATGACCATGACCGACTTGCTCACAGCCATGGGGTCTCCAGCGCTGAGCTTGTGTCATACCTCTTGTCATGCCCACACCTGTATTCTTCACAGTATCCTACGTCCCCATTTCTCAAGGCCTTTGCTATCATTCCAGTGCCAGGCCTGTATTTCTCTGTACCGCATTACATTAGTGGTAAATAGCTCTCTCTGTACATAATAGCTTATTGTTACTACTATGGATGTAAAGCTGTGGTTGTACCATACAAAGGTAAAGGAAGACATAAAATTTAGTCATAGCCACTTGGTCACAAGAAAACTTGATATTACAAGTAAACAAAATTTGTGTGGTGTGGTTTGGTTTGGTTTGGTTTTAAAGATCCGGGCAGCTCAAGACACTTTTAGACAAGGGAAGCCTAGCAAGCCCCTGCCCAGAGACTTTGCGAACTCAATAGTCTGTTACTACTAATGGCAATACTGTATGACTTAGAGATGTATTTTCATTCAATTAAAATATGATGCTAAAGGTTAGTGAAGAGAAATAGCAGACATTCACTTAGCCTTGTGATCCTTAGGCATGAATTGCTGGGGATGGAGAAGCTTGTTAAAGTATCGTCATGTTCTTTAGTAAACTGAAGACCAAGAAAAAATTAACATTAGAAGTGTCTTGTTTTCTTATAAGGAATATAAGAAATAATAAGGATAATCCTTTATTGTTATTATTTAATAATGACTATACATTATTATAATATTATTTTTGTGAAAAAAAAAATCTAAAGTACTATTCTTTATAAATGGGTGCAGACTGATATTTATGCATTTTCTTCTCAGATTGATAGTTCTCCTGTTAGAGAATAGCAAATATATGGTCTTTGCTTCTTAGAAAAAGGAAAAGTTAGTGATGTTGGTTTTTGGAATATCCAAAACATAACTCACACTATGGAAAAAGAAGCTATGGAACAGAGATGATCAAGCAGGATACAAGCAAATATTTTTTTTTCGGGATCGGATGCAAACACTGTTGCATATGCAGCAGCACTTCCCTAAAACAGGAGACTACAGTGAACAAAGATATTTCAGCTGTTTCCCCAGCTCTCCCCATCAGGGCTTCTATTCAACAAAAAAATGGAACAAATCAGAACATCTCAACGCTGGGAATTTTTTAAGACCATAGAAAGCTGTATTGCAGCGCCACCTGGTGCCTCCAGCACAACAATATTGCAAAATAGACTTCCTGAAAAGACTGACTTGTTTTTTTTATTTTTTAATAATTACATATTGTAAGCCTTTTTTTTTTTTTTTTTAGAAGCAGAGACCTTAATTCCTTCATTTATTTATTCATTAACCTAATATTGAATGACATGGAAGCACTTCTAAAAATATCTTCATCACTTGGGCAACTGTTGCAGTTTTGGTGCTACTTTTGAGGCTTGCCTATATAAAGGTTGTATTTCCCTAAAAAGCATAATACCGGTGACATCCATTTTTTGGGTGTTTTTCATGTATATTTGAAATAGAAAGAAGAAATAAAGAAAATAATTTCATTAGTAGTTACTGTTTTGGATAGAAAAGTTGGTATTGCAACAGCTGTTTGCTGTGGGTTGTTTGGTTGGTTGGTTTGGGTTTTTTTAATTGTGGAATGCTAGCAACTCAACCTTTCCTCTTATTTGGCAACTTGAGCCATTTCCTCATCTCGCTGATATATTTCTAGTCCTAAAGAACTGGCTTGATGTTTAGGCAATCAAGCTACAGTGAAGCCAGAAGGTAGGCAGAGCTGCAGTGAAGACGGGCAGACAGTGGAAAAAATTTCTGTGCATTTCTTGGTTCTGCTCTTCAGGTGAAGAGTTTTCCTTCATTATATCTGTCCAGCAGAAGACTCAGTCCATAAAGAGCTAATCTAAAGTCATAAATAGACAGATAATGAAGAGGGAGAAGTTACAATATATTGGAAGAACACACGTCCTCTCTTTTTTCACTGTTACACAATTGAGTCCTGTCAGATCTAAAGACTTTATGGATGTGATTCTCCAGCCCTTTCAGCTCACAAAGTGTGAACATTCTGTTTGGGCCATTCTCGATGAGTGGAATTACAATATACAGAATTTTACAGAGTTTTTATTTTTTTAATCTATTGACTTTTTATTCCTCTAAAGAGATTCTGTACAATGACAAATTTAATTCAGGTAATATCCTACTAAAATGTAGCTTAAAATTTCAAGATTGCAGTTATCTGATTAATTCAGTATTACCTGTATTTAAATGATGTTGAGCTAATATATTAAAGATAATATCATCCTGAGAACTGTTGAACTCTGAAAAGAAGATTCTATTTTTTTTAAGAGAATGTAGCACATAAAATGTTAATTGAAAATAAGTGAAATAGTGTGACTAAGTAGTTAAAGCCATACAGTAGCTTCTTCTGGCATTGCTATTGACTAGCAGAGTTTGAATCTCTAACTTAGTTACAGTTTAGAATCAGATATCTTGAGTATAAGTAGCCAAATAACTCTACCTCTTTACCTCTTTGACTTCCATGATGTCCAGCTACTCCACATTACAAAACATTTATATTTTTTCTTAAATACTTTATATTCAGGAAGATCACAGAGTCAACTTAGAAAGAATCATGTGGAACGCAAATTAAATTCCTACTCTTATGTATAATAACTACGTACATTTGACAGTCAGGCTGGGGTTTGGTTTTGGGTTTGGGGTTTTTTTTGGTATGAGCAAGGGTGAAAGGGTAGTGGTTTTAAAGACACTGTCAACATATTCTTTATAGGTAAAGATTAAATAAGGCAGGTGTGCTTTCCATAGCTGTGAATGGAGATCACTTCAATAGAGGCAGAGTACTGAAATTAACAATTTTTTCTTAAGACTAATACTTGTTTTAAAGTGATACATTGGTGGTGATTGTTTTAATGAAGCTCTTTACCACACACAAAAAAGTACTTCTATTTCTATTTGGTGCAACTTCTAAAACTTGTAGCGTTTTTTCACTTTGTGCTAATCTTGAAAATGATTTAGTGTAGTTTCTTCAAAATCTTTTAAAAGTAATTACGTAGTCCAGTGAGCACAGTAAAGAGAAGAAAAAAGTGAGATGAATTTTAAATAACACTGTGTTGATGAGCTACTATCTGTAGTTCATAGGTTACTATTAAATTTCATTCTGATGAGAAGCTTGAGCTGAAATTGAATAGTAGTATCAAATATCAAATGGCTACTTGTAGCAGTGAAATCCTGTGTCCCAGGACAGAACTACTCAGAAAAAGTCCACATTTTACCTTCAGGCATCAATTTGAATCAAGCATTACACTTTTATGCAAAATAATGAAAAAAAAAAAAAAACAACCCAAGGAGTAGAACGATAAATGTGCTGTGACATACAGTTCAAAAATTTTAACTCCTTTTTTAAACACTGGTTGATAAATGCGTTGATGTAGCACACTGCAGAACAGTAGATGTGATCTATGCACCTTAATATTTGAGTTAACCAACTCATAGCATGTGATAACTATTCTCTGAATGATATACTTGTAATCCATGTTATATTCATGCAGAAACTGTTATTTACTCAGGAATTGTTTTCCTTTTTATGCAACATAATATCATACCCACAGTAAGAAAAGTAATTAAAAACTAATCTCAGGTGAATTGTTATTGTACAATGTAGTGTACTTGCATTCTGGTTCCCATCATCTGTGTGGTATAAAGAACAATTGTTTTTACCTCTTGTGAACAAAAAGCAAAATTAAAATATTATAGGAACATAATAGTTTCTGAAGAATGCGACAGTGTTGTTGACCAGCCCTTTGCTTGTTCTAATCAAAGATTTCTCATTATCATTTGTTAATTCATCCAGCGTTCCACAAAGGGGGGGTGTAGTTCAGCAAAGGTCCATCAGAATATATTACCCATTTCAGCTTTGTGACTTCCCTGGGTTGCTGCAAGATTGCCTAGCTGACTCCTCATTGATTCAGAGCTAGGAAGCCACAGTAAGCTTGGTTTCCAAACTCACAGTGCCTCAACTGTTCCAGGCCCAAAGCAACGCATCAGAGAGTCTACAGAAGGCGAGGATTTAATTATCTTCCATGGAGGATTTCAGTTTGGAGGAAGAGTAATTTTAATAAGAAGGAAGCAAATTTTTATTTCATATCAAAATACTCTATGAAATTAATTTACTTTCTACAGAAAGAACATCATAATTTATCAAGCCTGTGTTATGTGAGGGAGTTTCCTATCAAATCTGAAAAACAAACAAACAAACTGATATTTCCTCATAACAATATCACTGTGTTTTCTACTTTTCAACAGGTGGGAAATGTTGTTCAATTTCAGTGTAAAAAAGGACACCTTCTCCATGGCTCAACGACAAGAACTTGCCTTCCTGATCTTACATGGAGTGGAATCCAGCCAGAGTGCATACGTAAGGGAACAATAAATTTTTGATCTGTAATTTTTTTTATCTAAGTGTGGTGGGTTAGCCCTTGGCTC